GAAATGGAACTTGTATTGAAGCAAATAGAAAACAAGAAAGAAAGCTAGCTTCGGCAAGCCGAAGCTTATATACCCTTGCAGTCATCAAATATTTCGAACAGAATACACAAAGGCTAAACAACATCGAAGCTACGACGACTTTTCCATTAATTTTCCATATATTTGACTATTGTTCATATGGCAGCTATATGATATAGTGGTCTGATTTTAATAAAATTTAATTTGTTATTCAAGTCGTTAGTCGAAACTATATATTCCAAAAATCATGATTTTCTGATGAGAAATAACGATGTTATCATTTTATTTCCGTTAATCTTATATATAAAAATGGAACGCAAAATGTGTTGGTAAGCGCATAACTCAACAACGCCTGGACCAAATTGGCTAAATCTTTTTTTAAATGTTCGTTGAAGTTCAAGGATGGTTTGTAAAAAAAAAGAATTAGAATTATTGCTGGAAAAACCATAAAAATAGACCATTTCTTTTTCCCATACAAATGATTTGTAACTAAAACGTAGTCATGCTTTTTTTTTTGTCAACGAATACACAAAACAAATTCGTATATCGTCTTTTGTGCCGAGTGTTTAATTAGTGATTAGTGAAAAATAATGCCTCCTATAAGACGAAGAAATTTAGGTAGAAGAACCAGAAATGCTACAAACCAAGCTAATTACCGAACTAATCGTAGTGCACAAGAACGTGACGATGGAATTGAACGAGAAAGAATTCGGATATCACAAACAAATCTTCCACTGTTAAATAAACAACGGAAGTATGTATTTGAAACTCTTATGAAAGTAACAAATGATAAAACTGAAGGGATTTACTTCTTAGATGCACCTGGTGGTACAGGAAAAACTTTTTTGATTTCATTAAAATTAGCAACAATTCGCTCACAAAATAAAATTGCAATTGCACTCGCTTTGTCGGGAATCGCAGCAACTTTGCTTGAAGGTGGTCGAACAGCCCATTCAGCACTAAAATTGCCATTAAATATGCAAAGCAATGAAACTCCAACCTGCAACGTTTCGAATAACTCTGCAATGGCAAAGGTTTTGCAGCAATGTAAATTGATTGTTTGGGATGAATGCACGATGGCACATAAAAAATCTTTGGAGGCTTTAGACAGAACCTTAAAAGATCTACGGAGCAATAATAACCGATTTGGTGGTGCAATGATTTTATTAGCAGGAGATTTTCGTCAAACATTGCCAGGGATTCCACGATTAACGCCAGCTGTTGAACTCAATGCAAGTCTAAAGTCCTCCAATTTGTGGAAACATGTCAAAGTACTTCATTTAAGCAAGAATATGGGTGTCGAGTTGCAAAATGACCAATCTGGAAACATATTTTCTAATCAACTCATTGACATTGGTAACGGCAAATTTCCTATAGACATGTTGACTGGCTGCATTAACTTTCCTCATAGTTTTTGTCAGTTAATTCGATCAAAAGATGAACTTATTCAGAAGGTGTTTCCAGATGTTTCTCAAAATTACAGAAACCATGATTGGTTGAGCGAACGAGCTATACTGGCTGCAAAAAACATAGATGTGAATGAATTAAATTTCAAAATTCAAGAACAAATTACAGGCGAATTGAGGATATATAAATCAGTTGATTCGGCTACTAATCAAGATGATGTAGTCAACTATCCACCGGAATTTTTAAACTCGCTGGATTTGCCAGGTTTGCCGCCTCACAATCTTCAATTAAAGGTTGGATCGGTGGTTATAATGTTGCGAAATATCAACCAACCGCGTCTTTGCAACGGTACACGGTTAGCGATAAAAAAATTACTTAACAATGTGATAGAAGCAACTATACTCAAAGGAAAATATAAAGGAGAAGATGTTCTTATACCGCGCATCCCAATGATTCCGACTAATGTGCCATTTGAGTTTAAACGACTACAGTTTCCAGTGCGGCTTGCTTTTGCTATGACTATAAACAAGTCCCAGGGGCAATCATTAAGTGTTTGTGGTATTAATCTAGAGAACCCATGTTTCTCACATGGTCAATTGTATGTTGCCTGTTCCCGTGTTGGAAAACCATCAGATTTGTTTATCTATGCGCCAGGTAATCAAACAAAAAACATCGTATACCACAAAGCACTACAATGATAATAATAATAATTATGATTCACATGATTAACAATAAAGCGATTACTTACTTTTAAATCCTTATATATGTTTTATTTAATTATTTTTTATTCACAACGCCCTATTACAGGGTGACAGTTCTGTTTAGGAGATTTTTTTTAAATACGTAGGCACAAAAACTGCCACATTACAAATCTTTTTGACAGGACGAAGTCTGTCGGGTCAACTAGTTAATAAATAAATATATTGTAACGAAATTTGGTTTCAAATTACTTGACCAGGTGATCAGTTCCAAAGCTGACGTCTGGCAACCCTGGGATACCATCGACCGGTCACTCGAGGACCTGTAAAAAAGCCTGTCAAAAAGTTTAGGCGAATTTCGATCACACTGATCGATGTTCTCTCTCCCTCCTCTTCCTCCGGTTGTCTGCCAGGCTGCAAGCTGGTGTAATTAAGCGGGTAATAAAAACCTAAAGTAACCCTTAAAAACTCTTGCTCTGTTATTGGAATGGTGTTGGCATAACGTGGGCTGACCCCCACCTAATAAAAAGTATCCGCTCGGCTGACAGTGGCGAACTTGGAAACCTCGACGGGCAACTAAGTTTCGTTACATTGGTGCCAGGTGTGGGGTCACGTGGGTTTGCGAAAACCCAGACCCAAAGAAAATGCCTAAAAAGTCCGTTCGCCAACGTTAGCCCTCACCCGATGGGAATATGGGGGAGGCTGCACAACAGCACAAGATTCAGTCTTTCATGCAAAAGCTGGAAGAAAAAGTAAGCGTAATTGACAGGTCTCTAGAACGAAAGTTCGAGCAAAAGTTTGAGCAAATGTGGGCGACCTTCGAAAGGACAATGCTTGATGGCTTGCAAGGTGTAGCAAAAGGACCGGCCAGCACCGCAGATGCTTTTGCACCGGCCATGCCAGCGGGGAGCACCTCCAACGGACGTCGCAGCACGTCGCAATTGCCAAATAGAGCAAATCATTTGTATGGGAAAAAGAAATGGTTTATTTTTAGGGTTTTTCCAGCAATTATTCTAATTTTTTTTACAAACCATCCTTGAACTTCAACGAACATTTAAAAAAAGTTTTAGCGAATTTGGTCCAGGCGTTATTGAGTTATGCGCTTACCAACACATTTTGCGTTCCATTTTTATATATAAGATCGCAGTTCTATTATCAGGTAGTTGTAGATGAAATAAAATTCATCCTTAATCTGGCTTTCTTTTAAAAAATTGTCTTTAAACGAAAACACGTCATTTTTTACAAACCCTACTAAGACAATGAAGATCCCCTCAAGTTTAGGAACGTTTATAACTTCTGTCGCGGAGGAAATTTGTAAATTCAAAACAAAGTTTTTGGAGAGAGCAATATTACCTACTAGAAATAGCAGATCTGTGTCAAAAAAAAAACCATTTCATGGCGATGAAATTTTATAAAAGTTATTATGATTCTGAAGTTGGTGATGCTGTCCACCTTCTCTACCCTAAAGAAAACGGGCATTTTGTGGAATCGGAAAACTTCGGAATCTTTGAATTGGCTTTGATTTAACCAAAAATGTATTACTGCTGCTACTGCTAAAACAGACAGTTTTTTAAGACGAATCAGATTACTCATTCTTCCTTATTAAAATTCTGGGGATCTATAAATATGTCAAGTGTCTATTACATCTTCGGTAACTAGGGTACCTTAAATTATCCATGGTATTATACTTATTTTTCCTTTGCACAATTTGTTATATTTTTCTGAAGGTTTTTTTTCAATTTAAGAATTATCTTCTCAGCGAAATCAACTGCCATGCAAAATTTTGTGATGTTAGAACACTTAACTTCTAACCAATGTTCCGATGGAATAAGTAATTTCCAGATTTCATACCTGGTTTTTAAAGTAGTGAAATACATGCGGTATTTGTAGACGTCACGCACCGGAAAGTTTAGTAAATAAATTGATTTACTCCAAATTGACTTTGCTTTGGGATTGCAGTTAACATTTTCGGATTTTAAGTATAGTAGAATCCGCTTATAGCGACTTTCAAGGGACCGACGAGTTTTCGTCGTTATACCCGGAAGACGCACTAAGCAAAAAAATATAAGTGTATGTATAAGTCTGTCTGGGGACCAATCAAGCCATCGAGTTTTCGTCGCAATACCCGGACGGACACTATAAGCGGAGTCGTTATAACAGGATTCTACTGTAAATTGCTCGATGGCATCTTTTAGATTCGAAAATCAATACAACGGTTGTAAGCTTATAAATCCATTTAAAATTGGCATTGGAACATACAGTAGATGCCACGAAATTAGCACACTATGCAATGCCCATTTTTGAACTCTAAGTTCTCCTTTTCCTGAAGATTTTTCCCGTAAGCCATTTTACGGGAACATTTTAAGTCTTCAGAAATCTCTGAAATGAAAAAGGGATTTTTTTTAGGATATCAGCTCTTGTTTAGACCCGCGTTAGTATTGGCGGCTCCAGAATCCGTCTCCCTTTTCTAGGCGACTGGTTGTTTGATGAGGGTAAATTTTGGTCCAATTCTTCTTACTCCTAAGTGCTTAAAGTACTAAATATTTCCTCTGATCAAATCTGACTGACTCTGTCTGGTAAGTATCTATGCGCCGACTATATATAACTGATAAGTTTAAACACTTAATTAAATTTTATTTTGAAATTACCCTTCGCACACAAAATAATTTTACATATGCCAAAAAATAATTGTTTATTGCTACCGTCGCTCAGTCGCTGCCCCGCACGGTTACCGTTGCTGCATCTGTTGATATTCTTCTGTCCATATCACTGATATCTTTGTTGTACAGACAACTTCAGTGCTATATTTTTTAACCATTTTGGGAGTTAAATTGTAAACTGAGTAAGAAATTTAAAAAATATGTGTTCTTTTTTCAGATTACTGCAAGAGGAAATAAACGTGCTGACTCATATATCCGAAAATATTGAAAATTCCCAAAAGCCGTTATTGAACGACCATCAATGTAACAAAAATTCAAGTGAAACCTCAATAATACAAGACAGCGTTCAACTGGACACAATATTCGCATTTTTGTCAGATTCAACCGAGGAAACTCTGGATAACCCACTAATTGAAGAAATAAATAACAAAATGAATAATTTGGTTAAAGACCTGGATGACGAAGTAAGTAAGATTACTTACATTGACATTGCTTTGTCCGACTTTTTTACTTTTTACGAATTACTTTATCAGACTTTATCAAAGATATTAACACTGTGTTATTTCTAAGTAAGACAAAAGAAATGATTTTAAGATAGGCAACGAGTCGGTAGTAGAATTAATTTGACGTAGCTTATTATAGTCATTATATAAGATTAAAGAATTCATGTATGTCGTGGTTAGATCTACAATGATTCCAACTCAGACGAATATAGTGTCAAGTATTATTCGACGGTTCGATAAAGATGGTAAATTAAGAAATCGAAGTCTACTAGAATAAGTTAGTAACAAAAGGTATAAAAGGATATAGTTAACCTACAAGTGGTGAGTAATAACGTTATCACAAAGCTTTGGGAAAACGGACAACTTGTGGATACCTCCATACTTGTGTATACTTCTATAAACATGGGCGGATTAAGGCAATTTAACCCTGTCTATAATTGCTGATATCTGATTTATTCCTTTTTTATACCCTTGCAAAGCAGAGGGTATTATAATTTCAGTCAGAAGTTTGCAACGCAGTGAAGGAGACACCTCAGACCCCATAAAGTATACATGTTCCTGATCAGCAGCACGATCTGAATCGAAATACGTCCGTACGTCTGTCGGTCTGTCCATTTCTATGCAAACTAGTCTCTCAATTTTAAAGCTAACTTGCTGAAACTTTCCCAAAAGTTGTGTAGTTATTGCACGCAGTATGTATATAAGTCGGCACAGGCCGGATCGGCCGACTATATAGGATAGCTCCCATACGAGAGAATGAAATAAAAAATTATAACGCCGATGTTTTTGATCAAATCGACTTGATTTCTTCCAGATGGAGTTTTTTGACTACTATCGAATTTTGAATTGATTTTTATTAAAATTGGATAACTATATCATATAGTTATATTTTTATATACGAGATGTGTTCAAAAAATATCGCGAATTTTGTGTTTTTTCAAAAATTATTTTATTTTTGTCATGAATATCTATGTTGTCCCCTTAAAAATAATCCCCATGAGATATGCCAACTGTTTTTCCAATCTTCGAACCACTTCAAAAAATCATATTTTTTTTTATCTTGTTCAGCTTCTCCTTCGATGCCGTCTTTATCTCGTCAAGCATAGCGTAACGTCGTCCTTTAATGGGCCTCTTCAGTTTAGGAAACAAGAAAAAGTCACAGGGGGGCAGATCCGGGGAATGGTGGCTGCGGCATCATTAGTGTGTTGTTTTTAGCCAAAAAGTCGCGCAACGATGTGTGAGCAGGGGCGTTATCGTGTTGCAAAAGCCAATTTTCGCTCTTCCACAAACCCGGGCGTTTCTGGCGGATTGCTTCGCGCAAATTGCGCATAACTTGCAGGTAATATTCCTTATTGACCGTTCTTCCCTGGGGCAAGAACTCATGATGCACCACGCCCCTACAATCGAAGAAAACTGTCAGCAAAACTTTCACATTCAACCGAACTTGGCGCGCTTTTTTCGGTCTTGGTTCGTGCGGCAGCTTCCATTGAGATTATTGAGCTTTGGTTTCTACGTCGTAACCATAACTCCACGATTCGTCACCAGTCATGAGCCTCTGGAGCAAATTTGGGTCGACGCGGACAGAGTTTAACATCTCATTAGCAATGTTCATGCGATGCTGTTTTTGATCGCAATTGAGCTATTTTGGTACGAATTTCGCTGCGACCCGTCTCATGCCCAAATCATTGATAAAAATCGAATGGCACGAGCCAATCGATATGTTTAGGTCCTCAGCAACTTCTCTAACGGTGATTCGACGATTGGCCAACACCATTTTCTCCACTTCATTAATTTTTTCGTCTGTTGTTGAAGTGCTGGGGCGTCCGGCACGCTCTTCGTCGTTCACATCTTCTCGGCCTTCTGGGCTTCGGAAAGCATCACCGTTCTCAAACAAGGGTAAACAGGTGCCGTGTTTTCCAGGCGTATGCTTTTCGCAACCGCGACCTCCTGTCCCTTGCTCCACCGGCGGTTACTCAATTTTCTCCGGCGCGCCGGACTATTATTCATATGGCAGCCATATGATATAGTTGTCCGACGAAATTTAATTTGTAATTCAAGAGTCATTAGAAAACCCTATACTCCAAAAATCATGCTTGTCTGATAAAAGACAACGAAGTTATAATTTTATTTCCGTTATTTCCATATACATTTTTCGATCTTTCCTATGGCAGCTATATGATAACGTTGTCGGATTTTAATAATATTTTTCTCGATTCAAGGGTTATTAAAAAACTACATGAATTAAAAATCATGCTCGTAGAATTAAAAACAACGACGTTATAATTTTTTCATTATTTATATATATATTTTTTGATCTTTTGTATGGCAGCTATATGGTGGAGCTATCCGATTTTGATAAAATTTAATATGGAAAATGAATAGAAAAATCGTCTAAGCTTCGATGTTGCTTAGCCTTTATGCATTTTGTTAGACATATTTGATGACTGCAAGGGTATATAACTTCGGCGAGCCAAAGCTAGCTTCCTTTCTTGTTTTTTTTTAACATTGTAAAAATGTTATATTTAACGTTCTGAAGTTATTAATGGGCAGTAGACAATATACATATTGTAGATGAAGGTGCGCGCCCCGCACGTGCGGTTTCATCAGGTAGGGTGGAAAATTTTGTACATTTTTTTGCATGAAAAGAAGGTCAAAGATTATACTGGTCAACAAAAAAAATAAAATCGTTTGTTTCCTTTAATTTTTTTTGTGTTTCTATCTTAAAATAACGTCTATTTTTTAAATATGGTAACAATTTTTCTCTCACAGCTTTTGTTTTTGAGTTACAGCTAACTACCCTCCATTACTATTGATTAGTCGTGGGGCGGGCCTTCCAGAAATCACAAGAAATCACTGAAGCTGTTAGCAATCTTCCACTATTAAGGGCCAGGACCATAGAAATACCCAATTACATATAAAAAAAAATAAAGGAAACAAGACTTGTGTTGACCAGTGTTATTAATTAAGGAATAAGACACCAGTTTACCAGTTAAAATAACTCAGGTCGCACAGATAAAGTTGCAGTATAAAGTTGAAGTTTGACATTTCGCTCTGCTAATAGTAATAATATTACTGATTTGTAAAAAAAAGGGCTGACAAATTAACATATTTTTAATTGGTTATTTTGTTTTTTTTTTTCAGATTAAATTATCCGTGCAAGACGACATGAGTTTTAAAAACAACGAAACAGTAAAAGCTTTAGCTACCAAAGGTGTTCCATCTCTTCCAGAGCCCACAGTTCCTCCACCACCACCACCTACATCTCTAATAATTAAACAGAAGTATTCAAAACCTGAGCATATATATGAAGCTATAAACGCAAATAAACTAACGACCAAGAAGGGAATTTCAAATGAAAATAATATTTTCTTGAAATATAAAATTATAAAGGAACACAACAAAAATTCACCAACTTTAGCCTCTTCGTCATTAAATAAGTACCAACTAGATGATGAACGAGAGCAGAGACGAAAACATAGGGTGGAAAAAAAAATTTTTGAACTTAACTGTAACGAAGATGGCCAAAAAGATATTCACAATGACGATTCATTTTACAATATCTATGAGTTTGCGGAAAACTATTTTAATAGCCACGAGATTAAGAGGGATAATAACCTATTTTCAGAAAAAGAGGAGAAAAAAAACGATTCTGTAAAAAAACACGAAATGACAATGTTTTCAAGAACTGGCCAAATTCCAACATCACATATTCATATGTACGATCCAGAGAATGTTTTATTGTCATGCAACATATTTAGCGTAAGTCTAACTTTTGAAACATCCCTTTATTGTTATTCTGTAATCTATATATATAAAAGCAAGTTGTGTTAGTTACACCACTTATAACTTAAGAACGGCTGAACTGATTTGGCTGAAAATTGGTAGGAAGGTAGCTTAGAGCCCGGAGTAGGACTTAGGGTACTTTTTATTCCGTTCGACATACCAAAAATCGCATATAAACTGAGTTACTACCTCATCACACTGACAAGCACACACTACCATAGCATTTTAACTCAATTTTTTTGAAGTGAATTGAAGTTATTTGTGATTTTGGTGAATTGAATTGAAGTGAAGTTTTTCGTGCTTTTTGTGAATTGAAGTGAAGGGAAGTTTAATAAATAATGCCGCGACCAAGACGATCGAATCTTTCCCGACAAAGCCGTAATGCAAGAAGACTACGAAATACTGCAAATGGAAGGTCTGAAGAAGAACAAAACAATGAACGTGAACAGAACCGCGTTAGTATGGGTCGACGTCGTGCTTCTTAATCAGCAGAGCAAAGAGAGGCAATCCGTAATACGGCTCGGTTGACAATGCAGAATCGTCGAGCTTACAACAGAGGTCAAGAAATAGATCATTTGCGACGCAGAAGAAATTTATCAAGTGCTGATTTGAATCGAGCAGCGTTTCAATACGATTGCATCACTGATTACAGCTTGCATCCTAGCGTTTGCATTGGGCAAATGGACGTTGTTTGCGAGTATTGCGGTGCACTGAAGTTTTCCGGAGAAACGCCTGGATTATGCTGCTTTAATGGTAAAGTTAAATTGCCATGACTCCGCCACCTGAGCCATTGTATTCGTTGCATTGTGGTGAAACACAAGAATCACGCCACTTTCTTGCAAATACCCGAAAATACAATGGTTGTTTCCAAATGACGTCATTTGGGGCAGATATTATCGAAGAACGAGGATTTAATCCGACATTTAAGGTTTTTTTTTGGTATTACATAGAATTTAGTTAAAGAATAACTTACTTTATCTTAGATACAAGGGCAGATTCACCATCGAATTGGATCATTACTTCCTTTCGAAGATACACAAAAAAATTTTTACAAATATATTTCATGGGCAACATGGGAGAATGCGATCAATGAAGGGATGAAACGAGCAATTCTTCAAGACTTGCAGTGTCTGCTTCATGAACATCATGCGATGGTCAGGTTGTTTAAGAGTGCTTTAGAGCGCATGCCAAATGATGACTATAAAGTTGTCATAAACGCAGATAAACGACCATCTGGAACACACAAAAGGACATTTAATGCTCCAACAATAGACGAAGTCGCACATCCTGATTGTGAACAATTTGATGAATGAGGAGATACATTATCGGGTTTTACTCTTGATCGAAGATAATATATGTGTTACCTCATGTGCGGTAATATATTAATCAGGTTAGAATGCCAGCGCCAAATCGTGAAATGAATGAGGCATTTAATCGAGAATTAGAACGGGAACGTGAATATGATCACCAGGAATTAAAATAAATAAATAAATCAAGCGAATGTACCCCTGTTGAATTCCCAACAGAAGAAAGTTTATAATACTTTAATGAAGGCAATCGATGAAGAAAATGGTGGTTTATATTTCCTAGATGCCCCTGGTGGTACTGACAAGACATTCCTCATGTCATTAGCTTTAGCAACTGTTCGGGCGAGATCCAACATAGCTGTTGCAGTTGCTTCTTTGGGAATAGCAGCCATATTGTTAGAAGGATGCCAAACGGCTCATTCAGCATTAAAATTACCGTTAAATCTTCAAATTATTGAGGAACCAACGTGTAATATTGCAAAACACTCGGAAATGGCCAAAGTTTTAATGGTATCGAAATAAAATTTTTCCTTTTCATATATAAAACAAAAAAAAATTTTCTTTATCTTTTAAACACCAAACGAAGTTTTACCTAAAACTATCGCCATCTGGTGGCGGAACGGAGTTCGCTGGGTTTACTAGTAATCAGATAAAAGGGGAATTTATTGCAATGTTTATGTCTATAAAACGATCAAAGCCCTCGCTTTAAGTGCCAAGCTACTTTTTTACATACCACCGGTATGGGATGGAATGGACTAGAAAAAAGTTTTAAAGCTTAGTACTGTTGTCGACAAAAGATTTCCCATTTTACAGTTGTCTTTCAAAGCCACCAAATTATATTATATATTAGGTGCGCAACTAAGTTCCCGCTGTTTTTTCGATAAAAATGTAACTTTATATTAAAAAAACTTTTACATCTGAATCATTGAAAGTATTGCCCATCGCTAGACACAACTTTTTTCCATTTTCTGCCAGAGCTCGTATACCTTGACGCCAGCAGTTTTCATTTTTTGAGTCTATCCACGAATCAAGCCATTTTTTGATGTCTTCATATGAGTTTAACTGTCGATCAGCCAGGCCATGTGCCATCGAATGGAACAAGTAAAAATCAGACGGCGCAATATCTGGGGAATACGGCGGGTGGGGTAGGACTTGCCATTTGAGCGTTCCCAAGTAGGTTTTAACAAGTTTGGCAACGTGATGCCGAGCGTTGTCATGCAGTAAAATCACTTTTTCGTGCCTCTGCTCGTATTGTGACCGGTTTTCGCGCAGTGTTCGGCTCAATCGCATCAATTGAGTTCGATACCGTTCCCCAGTGATGGCTTGACGGGTAACTCCTAGTTCTGAAGCAAGCTCTTCTTGAGCTTGGCACGAATCCTCTTCGAACAAGGCTTCCAACTTAGTGTCTTCGAAGGTTTTAGGTCTTCCTTCACTAGGACTGTCGTCAACATCAAAATCCCCGTCTTTGAAGCGACATAACCAATCACGACGTCTTGTTTCGCTCAGAGCAGCATTTCCGTACACTTTTTGGAGTTCTCGATGCGCTTGAGCTGCCGCTTTTTGTAAATGAAAGAAGAAAATCAACACTTCCCGCAAATGACGGTTTTTGGCATTTTTACTTAACCAGAAGTATATAATGCGAAAACGAAATCACTTATGTGTCACAGCCGTTTGATTACCATATGTCTAAGCTTGGTTTGTGAAGTTTTGGACATGTCAAAATCGACCAACTCTTATTGCTAGAGCCATCTCCTAACAAACAGCGAGAACTTAGTTGCGCACCTAATATAATATATCTTAACTTTAAGTTATTTTTAAAACTTCATAAATTGTGTCACTTTTTATACCCTTGCAGAGCAAAAGGGAATTATAATTTCAGTCAGAAGTTTGCAACGCAGTGAAGGAGACACCTCAAACCCCATAAAGTTTATACATATGTATATTCTTGATCACCATCACGAGTAGAATCATAAGGGTGCATGTCATAACGCCCAGTGTCATAGCGCTTCTAAAAGTGTCATATCGCCCGCACCGGTAATGTCACAGCGCCCGTGGGCCTTATGACATTTGCAACCTGTGTTATAACGCCCTCAGTTTCTTAAAACTAGCAAAATGAGTTTTTTGGCAGCCTAATTAATCAAAAAAATGATTTGATTAGGTGGGACACCACATTTGAAGAGCAGTCATGCTCAGATAATAGTGAAGATGAAGATGAGGACAATACTTTACACTTCAGTCCAATGGTTGAAGTTCTTAAATGTATAATTTGCTTTGACACTCCGCGTGATGTGGTACTATTACCTTGTAGCCACTTTAAAATATGTTTTGAGTGCTACAAAGTGATGAAAATGAAAGCGGCGAAGTCTCTATTGCTCTGCCCATATTGCAGGCAAATAGTAGACAGCCAAATCAAAGTTTATCAATAATGTTTAAATGAAATAAATGACATGTTAACACAATTTTGTGTTTAAATTTACTTTATTAAAAGCGCAAGTAAAAATTGTTTTACATAAAAATCGCGCGATTTTTATGTAAAACAATTTTTGCCTGCGGCGCTTCTTGCGCTATTGAGCACTCGATTCTCACGACAAATTATGCTGGGCGGCTATTTATACCAGCTATTTCATTACTATCAGGTTCGGGCTGCCCCCTCCTGAGTCGATTGACTCTGTACCCGGCTCTTTGATCTCTTCTGATCCGCTCTTACATGCACACATTTATACCAGGTATTTCATTATTATTAGGTTCGGGCGTTAATGCACTTCTCATAGTGTCATAAGGCCCACAAGAAAAATGACATAGCGCCCGTGGGCGCTATGACACTGGGCGTTATGCCATGAACCCGAATCATAATACGTCTGCACGTCTGTCCTTCTGTCCGTTTCCGCGCAAACTAGTCTCTCAGTTTTAAAGCTTTGTAGTCATTGCACGCAGTATATAAGTCGGAACGGGCCGGATCGGCCGACTATATCGAATAGCTCCCATACAAGAGAATGAAATAAAAAATTCTAACGCCGTTGTTTTTGATCAGATCGACTTGATTTCTTCAAGATGGCGTTTTTGAACTGTTATTAAATTTCGGATCAAATTTGATCAAAATCGGATCTACAATTTAAAGGTCAATTTGAGATTATTGAGATTCTAGATGGAGGTAGATATCTTTTAAACTCTTTAACTAGTAAGCGGACTTACAAATATCCACACGAATCTCTAAGAGCTTTGCCAAATAGTCAGCTAATAACGTGATAGAAGATGCTAATGAAGTCTAAGAAGAGAAAAAGAAAAGACCGCACCATAACCGAAGAGACGGGTTATGGCGGGGGTCAAGACTGCTCCATAACAGAAATGACTTGTTATGGCGGGAGTCAGGACTGCACCATAACAGAAGAGGCTTGTGATGGTGGGAGTCAGGACCGCACCATACAGAAGAGACATTTAATGGCGGTGGTCAAAAGAGAGATAAAAAATAAAAATGAGAAAAGTGTTAATGGAATTACACTAAATGAAAATGTAAATCGATGTAAAATGTTATATTATACGATTTATGGAAAGATTTTATATATTAGATTAATGTTACTGGAGAATAACTAAACGAAAGGGATTTATTTATGTTGAAACGAAGAAACTTAATGGCTTAATATTATTCTGATTAAATGTTCCCCTGTTATG